TTTTAAATTTTGTAATAATTAGCTAAAGTTTTCAGGAGAGGAATTTTTAAATGCAGGGGTCACCAAATAGATTCATGAGACAAGGTTTTCTCTAACTCATGTCATTACTCTCATAGTCCCTCAAACTTCTGTTCACACAGATGAGTTGGTTCATGTATTCACTCATTCATTCTTTCTTTCACTCATTCATCCATCATATATTATGTTCTTTCCATGTGTAACTGTGGATAAAGTGAAGGCTCCTATGGCCAGGACTCTCGCCTGGCTCTGGTTGACTAGCTCACTACACAGGCGTGGGCGATACATCATTATTGACTCTATATAAAAAACTCCACCCATTGCTCTAGGCAACTTGGTGGCACGGCTGCAAGGCTGCAGGAGAGCAGAGATGAGACTGGATTGGTGGCAGTGCCAAGAATAGAGACCAAGACAGCTGCGTGGGTAGAGAGGCCCAGAGGCAGAGACCAGCTAGCTGCCTGCAGACTTGCTCTGAGTGGACGGGATTCTAGTGATTGACCTACTTCCATGGGAATAAAGTTAGGTATAACCTAACTTTTGGTCTCAGTGAATCCATAATGAACTTGTCTGGGGCTGAAACCCATTGGCAAGACAGTAACTCATGAAGGATGATATTCTTGACTGATCGCCACTTTTTAATTTTGAAAAGACAATGAGTTTTGCAGCTCTCCTTCAAATATGAGAATGTAAGCAGATGCCGAAATACGTCTCTGAAACAAAGGGACTGAAGCCAGCCTCTTATGCTTCCCACAGCTATTTTGACAAAATAAACCCATGCTATGATTTCGGGTCAGACATTTTGGCTCTACAGCATAATAGATTAGAAATGCGTACCAAGATTTTATGGAGCGAGTGGTCTACAAATAACCCATAAAATTTGGTATCTGTAAACAATGTGTGAGCATGAACATTTACTGCCCCAACTCTGCTATATGAAGACTGTAAAACTATTCTCCATTCTATATTGTCAAGGTCAAAAGAATACAAATCCAAATAAAAATTTTTCTAAAATTCATATGCACCAAGAAACTCTAAAAATCCCTGGGGTATAAAGAACTCTTTCTAGTCTGGCTTTGTATTTCCTCTCTGTTCCTAACTGTTCAGAAACATACCCAAGTGATTCAATATCATCACAGGCTACTCACCTCCACATTTCTAACTTTCAAATAGTTTATACCATGAAATCACAAAGGCACTGATTGTCATTCTCAAAAGACAGAATCACTCGGCTATCACATCAAAAGCACCTGAATAGTTCCTCTGGTTATGGAGAAGGTTAAAGCGAAAATGTTGAAACTGGTGCATTATTATTTTGAAATGAAACAGCAAACTACATCAGACAGCTCAACTGGCAAAGAACTGTGCATGTTCAGAAAACTAAAGACTAACGCTTTGACTATGTTCAGTGTCTCTTATACGTGATTTATATTTATTCTCTGTGTGCAAACCTCCATATGTTCTAGTTTTCCATTAAGAAACAATAGGGGAGTCCTTCTGAAACTAATTTAACACCTGTGAATTCCCATAGGCTGTAACCAGGGATAGTAATCTGTTTGATTAAGTGACTGCCTTAAATTTCAAAGGTACTAAGTTCAGCTTCTACGCTGGGACTCCATTTTCACAAGAAGTTCATTTTTAATTCTAGTGATTATCTGCAATGGGACAGAATTACAGTGGCTAACAGATGTACATTTTTAATTTTCTGATAATGAAAGTCTGTAAAGTTCCTCAACTTTGACATCAATGTGATTTCATGAAATTCATACATCACCTCAAGTGTAGAATAACCAAGCAATACGTAGGTTGAAGATAAAAGATCTTGTCTTGTAAGGCTTCCTCAATGCCCTTCACACCTTAGGCACTTTGTTCACATGGATTATACATAAAATACAGCACACTCTTTTTTTCTGGATTTATCTTCCAGCTAACTAAGAGCTGGGCCATTTTCCCCAAGCTTTTAACAGATTCAAACAACAAGCTTCTAGAATAAACTCCTAAGTAGGCAGGCCACTGTGAGTCTCTCTTCTGAAAGTATAGATGACCCTATGGGTACTGTGAAGTATATTGGTTTTTCTTCAAGTGATTCAGCACTGAGCCAGGCAGTGTAAGCTGCTATGGGGGAACTCTCTCTTAATGAATTTACACAATTGCAATAAAATACTAATGTTTCCAATAGTACAGCTCTTCCATGGGAGTGCTCACTGGCATATTTCTTTATGAAGTAAAACCGAAAGAAAGATGATCTGTCTGAGGTGGGTTATAACATTGTTTCTTGGCCTTTTTAACCCACTGCACCATCTGCAAAACGAATGAGTAAGTCCTGTTTGTCTTTGCAATTAATTTAGACTTGGAGATAAATTCAAGCTTTGTGATGTTAGCTATGCATTTTTCACCTTACATGTGTGCCATCCCCATGGTGCCCCCTTTCCCTACCTTCCTCCAGGAACATTTTTCCCAGGAAATGAAAACCACATTTTTAACACAATTGAATATACCCATCATCAAAACTAGAGAGAAATGTGCAAGCTGCAATCTAAGGAAATTATTATCAGCATAATATATGCTAACCATATAGGTCCCCAAAAAGATTATTATAACCACAAAATATAGACCCATGAGAAAGTATTGAAGTACATGGGAGATAGGGTACAGCTCTGATTTTTTAGGGTGAACTGCATGAAGCTAATCTGCAAAAGTTCATTCCCTGGATCCTAGCAAGACATTTTCTTTCCTTCTTTCAGTTTCTTGTTCAAAAGTCAGATGGTCAGAGACTACAAGCCCTGCATCTGGTATCCACGTACCGCCTCTCCCTAACCACGTCGCTCACTACCCCTGGGTTTTCCCTCCTAACACGATTATTGCCTAACTTTATGGATGCATCTGCTTGCTTTCTGTTGGTTTCTCCCACTGGAATGCAAGCTCTCTGAGGGCTTGGCCTGTTACAGTCATCTCCGTTCTCCAGGACCAGAACAGCAGTTGCATATCCACAGAGTGAATGAGTAATTCCAGCCACAGAAGCACCACACAATTAGTGCAACCCCAAAGGGGGGACAATGAATTAGGATAAAAAGTCCTAACATAGTACTTCTTAAATATATAAATAATATATATATATAATCACAAGGATTATGCCTCAAAACCTAAGAAGTACATACAGTTCAACTTCGCAATTTCTAAAACATAGGTAAGTTATATTTATATTTTCCTATAAGCATAGAAATCAATGGTTTCAAAGCTACTAACATAATTTTATATTATGTAATTGTTTTAGGAACAGCACTTAAAACATATGAATAGGTTGCCACAATCAAGCACGTGCAAACTTGCAGCTTCTAGCTTGAGGTAATCATCTCAGCTTGTTTCGTCACGTTGACTATTTCACTGATTCTAAAGCTTCTAGGAAAAGAAACTAGGAGCCTGGGAATGAAAGCTACTTAGGCCAGGAAACAAGTTGTACGATTCTTAGCTGTTCCCACGCTCTGAGTAAAGCCACCAGGGTCATTCTCTTCAGCAAACCTGCCAAAGCTTTCTGGCTGAGAAGCACAAGTTCTGGTGATCGATACCCCCTGGCTAGTCAAAACCTTCCTATCAGAAGATAGGCTCTTTCCAGTGTCCCCAGGCAAATCTTCCTGAGTTCCGGACCAGGGAATACATCATTCCTCGTTTCCTAGCTTCTCCTATGAGCATTTCCAGCTTTGATTGCTGGGTGGGAACACAACAGGGACAGATACGAATGGAAGCTTTTGTCCCCTTTGTTTATTATCACTGAGGCAAAAGAAAGCGCGCTTGAATCTGCCTTTGACACGTCAGTGGTACGAAGAGTCTCAGGATCACTGAGTAAATAAAATCATTAGCAGCAATTATAAATGACTTCACAGTCTCTGATTTGATGCGTCACAGGAGCACCGCCTTCAGTGCTATGAAAACACCCTGGAGGCTGCATCCTAACAGCCCACAGGCAGATTCCGCTGCCTCCCGGTGCACGCCTCACCCTGAACACTCACTTTGAGCAGTCAGATCCTTGCACGGTCTTGTGGTCATTCTCGTCTTAATTTTTCATCACCGAGCAGTCAGGTTAACGTTACTGAGAGTCTTGGCTCATCTGGATCGCTCTTCCATCATCTCCCAAGTGCTGTCTTCTTTAATATGTCCACTTCTCTTACCTCATTTTATTATTGGGTCTTAAATACAACTCTCCTGCCAACAGCTGGTAAAGCCATCACCTTGATGGCCGCCTCTGTAACACACCTCTGCACAAGGTGGTCTCAGCCCCCACTCCAAATAGTCTTCAGCCTCTATTATGGACCTCCATTGCACGTGTAAATTTCAGGAGTCATTCTTCCCTTCAGATCCTGGACACGGGCACTAATGGATGGTGCACTTGAACTTTTAACTGTGAAAACCTAAGTAAGGACAATCCTCAATTTCCCAGCACAAATTCTTGTTAGAAAATGAGTCACCACCTAGTTTTTAAGAAGGAGAAGGAGGGTAATGGGAAATGAGCAGTGTAGATAATGAAATCAGAGGAAGTGGCACCTAGGGATAACCTGTTTCCACTGTTAAATTACAAATATACATTTTTACAGGCTCTACATAAGCGATATAGCTCTATGGGCACAATGGAATCTTCATAAAAAGGCTCTAATTATGCTGCAAATTATCTGGGATTTCTACAGGCAAAATGAACGCACTCTTATCTCTTCAATAGCATGTAGGCAAAAATGGCTTCTTGCTTTAAAACATCCCTTCGCATTCTTTGTTGCCTTAGCTGAGAAAGCCAGACCTCCCTGCCACATAAACAGACATGCTTGTTTCTAAGCCTCTGGTCTTACAGTACCCAAGAGTCATTAATGAAATAACACATAACACCATTCACACAAAGAAGACAGGGGAAAACAAGCACATACCAAATGATTCCTGACAAACAGACAAATAATTAATGACCGACTACCGACAAGGTACAAATACCTGGAACAGCGTACCGATTACAGATCATGCTGGTGAGAGGGTGTTTTTCTGACCCCTGAGCAAGTACACAGAGGCCCACGAGCAAGAGCAGTTCCATGGCTCCTGGACAGCTGCCCGTCGCTGCGTCTCCTGTGCCCAGGCCTCTTCACTGCTCAACCCCCTGGCTAGTCAAAACCTTCCTATCAGAAGATAGGCTCTTTCCAGTGTCCCCAGGCAAATCTTCCTGAGTTCCGGACCAGGGAATACATCATTCCTCGTTTCCTAGCTTCTCCTATGAGCATTTCCAGCTTTGATTGCTGGGTGGGAACACAACAGGGACAGATACGAATGGAAGCTTTTGTCCCCTTTGTTTATTATCACTGAGGCAAAAGAAAGCGCGCTTGAATCTGCCTTTGACACGTCAGTGGTACGAAGAGTCTCAGGATCACTGAGTAAATAAAATCATTAGCAGCAATTATAAATGACTTCACAGTCTCTGATTTGATGCGTCACAGGAGCACCGCCTTCAGTGCTATGAAAACACCCTGGAGGCTGCATCCTAACAGCCCACAGGCAGATTCCGCTGCCTCCCGGTGCACGCCTCACCCTGAACACTCACTTTGAGCAGTCAGATCCTTGCACGGTCTTGTGGTCATTCTCGTCTTAATTTTTCATCACCGAGCAGTCAGGTTAACGTTACTGAGAGTCTTGGCTCATCTGGATCGCTCTTCCATCATCTCCCAAGTGCTGTCTTCTTTAATATGTCCACTTCTCTTACCTCATTTTATTATTGGGTCTTAAATACAACTCTCCTGCCAACAGCTGGTAAAGCCATCACCTTGATGGCCGCCTCTGTAACACACCTCTGCACAAGGTGGTCTCAGCCCCCACTCCAAATAGTCTTCAGCCTCTATTATGGACCTCCATTGCACGTGTAAATTTCAGGAGTCATTCTTCCCTTCAGATCCTGGACACGGGCACTAATGGATGGTGCACTTGAACTTTTAACTGTGAAAACCTAAGTAAGGACAATCCTCAATTTCCCAGCACAAATTCTTGTTAGAAAATGAGTCACCACCTAGTTTTTAAGAAGGAGAAGGAGGGTAATGGGAAATGAGCAGTGTAGATAATGAAATCAGAGGAAGTGGCACCTAGGGATAACCTGTTTCCACTGTTAAATTACAAATATACATTTTTACAGGCTCTACATAAGCGATATAGCTCTATGGGCACAATGGAATCTTCATAAAAAGGCTCTAATTATGCTGCAAATTATCTGGGATTTCTACAGGCAAAATGAACGCACTCTTATCTCTTCAATAGCATGTAGGCAAAAATGGCTTCTTGCTTTAAAACATCCCTTCGCATTCTTTGTTGCCTTAGCTGAGAAAGCCAGACCTCCCTGCCACATAAACAGACATGCTTGTTTCTAAGCCTCTGGTCTTACAGTACCCAAGAGTCATTAATGAAATAACATATAACACCATTCACACAAAGAAGACAGGGGAAAACAAGCACATACCAAATGATTCCTGACAAACAGACAAATAATTAATGACTGACTACCGACAAGGTACAAATACCTGGAACAGCGTACCGATTACAGATCATGCTGGTGAGAGGGTGTTTTTCTGACCCCTGAGCAAGTACACAGAGGCCCACGAGCAAGAGCAGTTCCATGGCTCCTGGACAGCTGCCCGTCGCTGCGTCTCCTGTGCCCAGGCCTCTTCACTGCTCCGGGGAACAGCTTCTTGGAGGCCCTGTGAAGATGTAAATAACACATCAACTCTGGGCTCATCGTTTACCTTCATCATTATCTTTCTACATCACCGAGTTGGGATTCTATTTTCATGTTCATTTCGAATTTCCATAGTCACCCTGGGGGGCAAGGAGGTGGCAGAATAAAGAGCCCGGTGAGAGGGCAGGGCTGTCAGGGGGAGGAACTGTCTGGGGTCAACAGGCGAACGAAAACTGCGGGGAAGATAGCGGGTAGACAGGAAAACTATTCTTGTATCCAAACCCCATGAAAAGATTAAGACACATATGTCTTTCCTGTCTGTACACCAGCACGGTCCGCAGGGACTCGAGGACCATCCGTTGACTCTGACATCGTGTTCTGTCACAGCTGCAGAGAAACAGCTAGAATATGGAAACCACGCAGGGAATTGTCTCTGATAGACGGAAATGAAAAATCCTATGAAGTAACCACTAGAAAGCCAAGCCCCATCAGTTATGGCTTTGAGAGTAATTTGATTCCAAACCCTACATTAGGCAGTATTTTCGAACAGTTATTTTTAACTATGTCATGAAGTATTTACTTGACAAGAAAAAAAAATCACTTGACTGTCTTTGGAACAAAGGTCTTGATAAATCTTTGTAATCACTGTTCTTCTTATATACAGTATGTTCTCAAGAAGATTGCTACGATCAGGAAATTGAGAATCTAATGAAATACTCAAGATAATAGTTTTCATTCCTTTTAACACATAGAATATTTTCAAGTAATTATGTTCCTACCAGGAAATCCAGAGAATAATCAAAATAATGATTTATTTTCCAAAAAGTTTTTACTTTACTACTCTTTAATGCCAAATTGTTTTCTCCTAAATGAGCTTAAATAACATATTTATCAATATTAATCCTCACTGGGATGTAGGGAAGCAAAAATGAGAAAAATCTGATACTATTTGGCAAACCTAGCATTTTGATAATAGTTCCTTTTTCCCTTTTCTTAGAGAACATCACAGCCTCTGGTTTAGGTGACCATGCAATTCCAATAATTAATTTCAACCAATATTAATTAAAACTTTGATAACAAAGTTATGGTAAGAATTAAGAGGGAGGCATTTGAGAATAGCAACATGTTTTGCTTATTTCTCCATCATAACAAACTTCTATTCTCACTCTGTAATGGTGAAATCAGAAGTACTGTCCTAGAGAATTCTTTGAAAAGAGTAAAGGAATTGTGCTGGCCTAAGTAAATACCCATTTTGGTGCCTCTCACCCTCTTATCCTGCCATGTGTTCAGTGTCCTTGAGGCCTAGTGTCCCCAGAGCATAAACACACCATCCTGACCAGTGAAACCACATCACTGTTTTTCTTTCACAGCCATCAAAATGTTTACCTTTGACATCTCTCCTCTTCAGAACTTAACTCAATATCTACATAGGAAATCCAAATTTAAGGAACAGACTAGTCAATCTGAACTTCCATTTTTCTATTATCCACTTTCTGTAATAACCAGATATTGTAATGTTATTATTCTGGGCTGTAAATCTCACAGAGGAAACGGTATCTCACAAACTTGTAAGTGAAAATGCATATATTATTTCACTAATTTAATGCAACAATGCATTATGTATGCCAGATTCCAAAGTCTTTAGAACCAGACAGGTAGACCCATACATTAAAATTCTGTTTTATTTCCCCATATATCTGAGGGCATAATGGGAATTTCTAGAACCTTGAGGAAAATATGACATCAATAAACATTTGCTGAATTGATTTATGTTTGATGTTTAGTTCTCAAGTGGGTCCAAGAGGGAGTAAGACAGCCTGAGTTTAAAATGCGATTCCATCAGCTACTCCAAATATGGCCTGGGAAACTTAGTCACCCCTCTGTACCCCAGGGTCCACCTGTATCAAATGTGCCTAATGCCAGAATTGAGTTTATTTCATTGGTGTGGTGATCAAAGGAGCTTGTATATAAATGGAGCTGAGAGTGATGCCTGATCAATGAATGCGACCTATGGTTATTATTTTTATATGATATTCTGACTTTTATTTTAAATGGGACATTATTATATTTAGCCTTTAATGTGCTGCATAAATTTACTTCAAGGTAATCTTGCTCCTGATATTTTTCTTTAAAAATAAGAATTGCTCTGCCTAATATAATAAAGACAAAAATACTGCAACAGCACAATGAAGATAAGTGACAGAAATTTTTAAATAGACTGGAAATTTCATAACCAAAAAAATTAAATAGTATTTGAAGAAGTACTAGCTAGCATAATTTTCCCCTATGGAGAACACACTAAGCTTTCTATGAGACACAGCATCATTCTAGTACCTGTGGCAAACATAGAGTGTTTTCAACATCCACTGAGAGGATTAAAGCAGCCAGGTTAGTTAGTATCTTTCTTGAGGCTACAAAGCTAGATAGACCTCAATCCAGTATGAAAATGCAAGCAGTCTGACCCTTGATGTCCCACTGTTAATCATTATCTTTCCTGGTTATCTTTATTTGCCCTGGTGTTTGAGTACTGTCATGTTAAAAATGTCATTTTAAATTAACTGTAAATACATCCTTCTGTCCCCACTAGCTGCAAAGAAAACTAGAGAACCTTTAGACACTTGATATTGTGATATTGTGATATTCATACAAGGGAAATACATGCAATTTTTTTCTGACAAGAATTGTATTAAAATTCCAAAAAGTTTTCAGTTACCCAATCTCTTTGGAAAACTTGAAACACAAAAATAAATTTGCACATATAGTAACATAAATTATAGCTTAACATTAAGAAACAACCTTATGGAAGAAAATACTTGCTGATATCAGAGAAAATATCCAATTTAAAACTTACTACCATCATAAGGAGTACTAATTGTTGTGTTATGAAATATCTCTATTCCAATTCTTTAAAGGAAAAGATAGAAACATCAGAAAGCTGGCTATTTGGGTTAGGAGTAACCAAATATTTTTAGCCGTGGAAATATAAAGTTCTTATGTCAGTGGTCCCAAGGCTGGGGGATGTTCATCCCCTGCATTGGTTCTCTGTCCATCCAAAGCAGATATTTCAACTCATTTTACTGTCATATTAAACTTAAAACTTTAAACTCAGTCAGAGTAGAAGACTCACAAATGCATTCCCCTAGAAGTAGTAATTGAGGCCCCTTCACAAACACGTAGCATTTCAGGTGAGCACAGATGCCACACCGGTGCTGGGGTGACCCTTGCTGTGGCAGAACAGTTATTATAAAGAGAGAATGGCGGGGAATAAGAACTAGGGACCCTCCAGGACCCTTTCTTTTTATTTTTCACTTGTCAATTTTACTTCAAAGTAAACTCTGGTTTCTAACAACAACACTGTGAAATAAAGAATAAAATGAAACGCTGGAGCTTGGTCCAGTGGCCAATAAGGAGACAGAATGTGCATACATTGTGCAAATGCTCTTTAGATAGTCATCTGTCATCATTGACATACACAGGAAAACTATTCTTGTATCCAAACCCCATGAAAAGATTAAAGACTGACTGTCTTTAGCATTGATTCTACAAGACCATGGTATTTTAATAGGTTGATTATTACTTATAGTGAAGGCTACCACATCAGCAGATTCCTGCCATTGCACAGATCACATAGGAGGGATGCCAGCCAGCTGGCAGAGGAGAGCCCAGCCTCTGCCCTGCTCCCCCCCAAAAATAAGTATAAACTATGAAAGGTGTTAAGTTGATTAGCTAGGCTCTGGTAATCATTTTGCCATCTAAACATCACATGGTATACCTTGAATGCATGCAATTTTTATTTGTCAATTATACCTCAGTAAACCTGGAAATATATATATAATTTATTCTCCCAAGAGAAGGAATACATGCCACACCAGAAGGGGCCACACAGGTAGACATCAGCTTGGGATACAGGGCAGAGGGAGAGGGGGCTGTGGGAAAACGTCTTCACTGTGGTTTCCACCGGAAGGAACAGGAGAGGGAGGGAGGGCAGGTTAGGATTGGCTCAGGTGACTGATTGCAGTGGGTTTGGGCAAAGTGTCCCTGCACATTTGGTCCCAGGCCCTGGGTGATTAGGACAGAGCCCGATCAGGGTGGCACTGGGGTACACTCAACTAGCTGTCCAGCAGGGAGAACTGCAGGCCTCGATCCAGGGCCTCACACTGGGTCAAGACAGCATTTTAAGAACTGCAGTACATATCATTTAATGAATTCAGGAACAGGCAATCTAGTTCATCTGTAGTCCACAAAAACACTAGAAATTCTTTTTTTTTTTAATGGGGAAAAGAGAACTATTTTAGTATCTGGCCAATAAATTCCCTCTCTTAAATAGCTCTCATCAATGTGGCACAGTAACTTCCCACCACTTCCCCAAAGTCCTATGTTCTGATAAGCTATGAATGCTACTAAACTGATTTTATCTTTTGCTCATGTGTGCTTCACTCAACACATATGACGGACACTTACATTTAATCAAAAAGTGTGCTGTGGATATTTTACAGTGTAAGAAAATGTAGTCATCCTAAAAAGTGTGCTGTGGATATTTTACAGGGTAAGAAAATGTAGTCGTCCCAATAGGATGATGCCATTCAAATAACAGTTATTATATTTGATTGCCTTCCAGGGCTTAAGTGCTGTGCTGGGTGCCTTACAAACACTGAATCTAACCTATTACCATCTCCATTTTACAGACAAGAACACTAGTGCTCAGAGATGTCAAACAAGCATAGTCATTGTTCCTCAGCTAGCATGAACCGGAAGTGGATTTCAAACCAAGGTGAATCTGGCTTCAGCCTCCATGTACTTGTAACACCACCAAATCGTCTCTCAGTTCACTTAGCTACCTCGGTGTATCTGCCCGAGTAAACGGCCCCCTGATCATGTCTATGCAGAAAAGATTTTTTTTCTTTTCTCTGCTTTCACAATTGTAGCAATTTTGTCCCTTGAAGGCTTTAAAGCAATTAGTCAAATTCATACAGATCAAAGTGGTCTAATACTGAAGGGATAACAGATATATAATCTCTCTCCGTAGTAATAACTTAGGTTAGTACAAAGTCTAAATTGGTGTTTCCACTTCATGTAGATATGTCCCTGATTTGCATGTCAGGGGCTGGGACATGATCCAGACCAAGGCGAAGGCTGCTATGATGAAGCAGGCAGATAACTCACAGCCCATTCAATCTTCCTAAGTCCCAGGGGCTGGGACCAGAACATTCAGCACTTGGCCCCTGCTATCCGTGTAGATAATGAGAAGCAGGTCTCTGGACTCAGAACCTGTGTTTTTTCCCCATGCCGGGATGCTGGGATGCTGTCAGAAAAATGAAATTTTTCCTAACACTAGCAATACCAAATTATTCAAGTTTGAGCTTCAACTGAGTAAAACTATAGATTAAGAAATGTAATTTTAGAGTCATATTCCCTTCTAGCATTTGAGTATGTGATTAAGACTTTGTCCTCCAGCACCAAAAAGCACAGGAAGATACCTTCCCACGACCCAGATCCTCTGAGGTCATCCAAGATCACCAGACAGGAGAACCTCCCCTTGAAAGCAGAGCTGTCCCATTACGGCCACGACAGAGTGAGAGGTGCAGCCAATGAAGCTCCCAGTGGTCCGGACCACCCTCAATTTTCTGGGCACCTTTTGATTTCATGGTGCCAACATACCCACAAGATGTGTTGAATTTAGACAGCCAAGAAATCACGAATAGCAAGGGTGAGAAGATGGGGTAGTAGAGCAGAGACAGAAAAGAACACTGCCTGACATTTTCCATAGTTCTCAAAAGGGAAGGTGGCAGGAATGCTTCCATAACAGGAATCTCAAGATCCATGTGCCATGTACATGGTCATTATTTGCAAATATAAGCATACATAAATTTTAGCTTGAAATATTTTCCTTGCAAATGTATCCATGCCTTGAAGTAGAGATTAAACTGTGTGGCCCTTTTATCAGTGTTTTTAGAGCCAATGATTAAAATGCGTAACTCAGACAAATTATTATTTAACAAAATAAAATGAGAATTCCGATGGATGTGTAGAAAGAGCACCGAGAAAATAAAAACAGAAAGCCGGCAACTTGGAAGGGCATTTCAATTATTAACGGAAATTGTTCTCATATTTTAAAGATTTTGGGCCAACTGTCTAGTTGCTAAATGTCATACTTAGTGAGTAATTGCAAAAACTTAACTTTGTCTATTTGTCATAAAACATCAGGCCAGACCAGTACGAAGAAGAAATTAGACCTTTTCCAAGCACAATATGGACGCAGATACCAAGTAAACTATTTATAGGAGACCATACATTTTAATGGCAATTAGTCTTTTATGAAAAAATGCAGTGTTGGGGGCATGAGTAAGTGTGGCCTAGCATTTACTTCAGAATATTATTGGACGCTATGAAATCACAATAGTGAAAGCTAGAAGTTTACTTAAAAAGAAGAGCTCCTACATTTTCCTTTCCCTTTTTTCTCTTTTGGACCAGCTTGGAGACATCTCTCCATCCTAGCCCTCATCTCTCTCAGTGCCGCCGTGCTTTCATTCCGCTGCTGTTTGGCATCCTGACTAGTCTCTCAAAAGCCAGACACTGCTCAGCACCCCCAAGGCTCATCTTCACCCAGGCATTCTGCCTGTCTTCCTGCTCCTCTTACCCACTCACAGGATCTTTCAAAACTCCACCTTGCAAAACCCCTTTCTTTGTAATTCTTACCTATCTATTTTCCCCGCAGCCATTAGCTTTCTGTCTGCGCCCTTGACACGCAGAATTAGCCCAGGTGCCCTGGCCAATGTGGCAACAAGAGCTTCTCTCTGTCCTTTACTCTGAGTCCTCTGAGCCAGAGCCAGCTCCCCCTTCACTCTGACCCTGGGGACCCACGTGCCAACCCACTGGCTCTCATCGCTCTCCCAGGACTGGCATCCTACGGCGCAGCCCGTTGTAAGACAGAAAACTATCATCTAAATGTATACAAGTTTCTTAAAGTTACCCTATTTGGATATTACAGAGAAACAGAACAGTTTTCTTTGTGAGAAAGAGAAGACTGGAATCTTCATGCCGGGCTATCTGTGATGATTCCACGAACTCCATGGCCTCGGTCATTCATTAATTCATTCACACATTCATTCAACCAACAAGGCTTCATTGAGTTCCTACCATGTGTGAGGCATTGGGCTAAGCACTAAGCATACGATAATAACCAAATGATTGCCGCCTCTGCTCTTGTGGAAGTGACATTCCACTTGTGCAATACCTCAGAGTCTAAACTAAGAAATATGGGCAGGAATTCCTCGGAGTGTTTTAAGAAAGGCAGCAATATGATTTGCTCATAAAAAGATGACTCTTGTTACCGTACCAAGATTAGGTTGTCAGTGGGGACCGGAAGAGCGTGAGGGTAGAATCAGAGAGGTAATTTCATCAGATGATGGTAGCTTTAGAGAATGTGTTAGCTCTGGAGAAAGGTAAGTGAATTCAGAATTCATTATAAGGTAGAGTTAGTCATCAGTATCTGTTGACAAACTAAATATAAAAGTTGAGAGAACAAGAAAATCAAAAGATAAAGAATTACAGATGGAAGATTTGTACTCAAGAATTCAGTCTTTGATATTAGAGTGAAATTACCAAATTAGAAAAAAGCCAGGATGTGGACCCAAAAAGTACAAAGGAGAAGGAATCTAATGGACAGTTGTCAAAGTGCTGCCAATAATTTGAAAAGGCTGCTACAGAGAAGACAAGTAGTGACTCTGTAGCATCTGACTACACTGATGGACAGTGACTACAGTGGGGTTTGGGTGGGGGGACTTGATAATATGGGTGAGTGTTGTAACTACAATGTTGCTCATGTGAAACCTTCATAAGACTGAATATCAATGATACCTTAATAAAGGAAAAGAAAAGAAAAGGCTGCTTGAAAGCATTGTTTTCAAGGAAGCCTACCAGGAAACTTAACAAGACTCAAGGTGTTACAAGTATACCGTCAGATGCAGCCATGTATCACTGCTAAGCTATTCTTCAAATTTCTGAACTTGGACTTTAAACATAATAATCTGTAAAAGTTTAGAATCCTGACTTCTCAGAATAGACCAACATGTTGACAAGAAAGCAAAACGCATATGCTCTGGATCCCTGGTAGAATTCTCCTAATAATGTTAATTTACTTCAGATACCTGGCCCTTCTTCAATTTGAAATGTCTGTTCTTTCAGTTTGCTTCATCTAATTCTTTGAAAATTTCACCTGGAGGTTAGAAAGATCAACTTGTAACTGAAAAATACATAGTAAAATATTTAAAAAGGCGAACATATATTAATCCCCCCAAAGATGGGATTAGTCTCTAAAAGTATCTACCTGTGTATCTGTCTACCTACCCACTTCTCAAAGAGTGTCAAGGGAATAAATGGAGGCAGAATGTAGGAATCTTTAAACATTTGCATTTGCATACACTGATTCTTAGTTCAAGGTAACCAGAGCAATGTACACATAACAAGAAATGCCCTCTAGCCACGTTCCTGCTGGGCCTTGCTCTCACAGGTGGCGTTGGCTGCCCGTCAAGCACCCAGCTGACTGCCGGGCCTCACATTCTCAAGCTCTCCTTTTTACCAAAGCCTACCTAGCTTTAGTCAAGCACCCAACTAGACAGGAGGCATGTGGAGGGACACAGACCCTGACCTCCTTCATATGCACTTCACAGGAGCTAGAGCCTCTGCTAACATACAAACCTGGTCCCTGGGTGGGCTGAACAAGGAGAACCGAATGACCTGTTTAGCACTCTTAGAATATGGCAGCATGGCCTAAAACATACAGGTCAGGATCATTCCAATACTCTGATGATGCTAAATGCACTCAATTAAAAAAGTAGTATTTTCTCAATAGAAAAATAACACAGAGGGGATATTAGTTTTTTCATATAGATCTATGAAGTATCTAAGTGTTGAGTTGATCAGTTGGTTCCTTATGAATACTTTTTAAAAATGTCACTAAGAACTAGGTCTTCTGAACACTCTGGTGAGTAACTTCCTTCTGGAAAGATATGCCTATTTCTGTACCAAAAACTATGGAAAGCTTAGCCCACAGCCTAAAAGGGGCTGCTTTGTGGGTGTCTTTTGGCCCCCAGAGAGATGCTAATAAATCACGTCTGAAGAATACTATGTTCTCTTCTCTGTACAAAGTCTCCTTCAGAGCAGTCTACCCTGGGGGAAATGTGACAAACTATAGAAAAATTTGAAATATTGTCATTCTCACCTGCTAGTTCACTTCAACTTCTATAGAAACAATCACACATCCTTAAAAGACAAGAAAGTTGTTTTAGGGTGGTGGTGGTGGTAAAAATAGCCCCAAGATGAAAGAGGGCTCTTAGTAATTCATGCAACATAAATACTTCCCAAGGACGTCATGCCCTAGCCTTGTATTCCAATAACCTGGTATTATGACAATTGCACATGTTTAAACAATGCTGAAGACTACTGGATAAACAATAATATGCCGTAAGTCAATTACAGTATCAGAAATTAAGAGTCAACAGATCAGGGTTCCAGCCTTGCCATCAATAACATGTGACTGTTAACATGTGTTACATCCCTTCCTCCTTTGCAACAGTTGCCACCCTCATGCAGATGCTCATTTCTCCCCTGTTGTTCTTCTGCAATAACTGCTGGCCGGGCCTCCCAGACTGACCATCTCTACCTATGACATCATGCCCCTCCCTGCCTAGAACTCCACAATGGATTTTCATTGCTTTCAAGATAAAATCCAACACAAGGTCCTGGGTCTGCTACATACGGTCTGTGCCTCCAGATTCATCTCCAGCTGGCTTTCGGGATACTCAAACACATATTTGATTCTTGAAATGTACTGAAATTCTTTCACTTCCTGCATCTCACTGCGCTGTTTGCGCTCCTTGCCGATGGTCATTTTTCTGCCAAGAACACTCCTCTTCCGTTACCTTCTCCTGGCTGATCCCACCATTCCTCCGAGCCTCAACTGAAGCATCCATTTCTCAGAGAGACTGTCTCCAACCCAATGACTAGCATAGATTCCCTACTGTGTGCCTGCAGACCGCCCTCCTGCCCCCAAGCTCATACCAGCCTCAGCTCTCCACCATTACTTATTTAGCATCCGTTTCCACACTCCACCATAACTTCCATGAGAAAAGGGGCTACGGCTATCTTTGCATCCTCACGCCTGCCATAAAGCAGGCATTCAAAACCTAGTTAATGAATAAATGATTTAATAAAGACCCAAATTGCATATCCTAAGCCTGTCTTGCTTTGTATTCATTAAGCAAAGTACAGACAAGATCCACATAATCAATGAATTATTCTGAAGAAATCTGTAAGCAAGAATCACATGACACAGTACGTGAGATTCTGGACTGCTAGTGGGGGCTGCTGGAATACACACACACCCTTCTCTGTCCTCAGAATGAGAGTTTAATGTTTAGTTGTTTTTCTAGAGTGTTTAGTGTTCTGATTGGTGCAATATTTAACTAGCCGACATTAATCATCTTGAAAGTCTTTGGAAATCAGAGAACTGGGCTTACGTACAAACTCTTTTTTGTTGAAATTGTTTCCAGATAATCATGCTAAAAAACAACCTCTTTTAGGGAGAGTAAACTATGAGTAATGTGAGAATTAAAGTGAGGAAATGGAGTCTAAGCTAAACAGACAGGAGAGAGTTTAAAAGGAAGTTAAGGTAAAATGCATTAGCCTGGTACAAGAGTTTCCTCTTTTTTTTTTTTCCTACTTACTTTAAAGGCAGTCTGATAATAAACATTTAAATAGCTCTAAGTACATCACTGAGGGCACCAGTGTTATTTATCCCATTTCTCTAACCACTGTCTGAGCAGTTTCCCAAATAAGGAAGCTCTAATGGATTTAAATAGGTGCAGCTGAAACGTAGTTTTATGATTTCTGGTCCTACCTGCGTGCCCGCTTATTTATACTCTCAGTCTCCACACTCAAGAACGTTCAGAGAGCCAGGTACTGACTCATTGCTCATTTCCTACTGATCTGTGGGTTCGTGTTGCCTTCTTAGCCTGTCACCTGCCCCTTTGTGTATGTCCGGCCCTTTGATATTCCCCAACCCAGACCCTCTTCAACCTCATGACATTATAAAACAGTTGATGATCTTTCAAGAGAATCAATGTCCCATTATTGACCGTAGCTGCCACTGGGTAGAGAAGCTTTTCTGAACACCCCTCTGTCCCCTCCGTCATGTTGAGACCCCGTGCTGTGCAGCCATGCCTCCCTGGAGCCCTCCTTGCAGGCACTTAAACACACCGTACTTACGTAATTGTTCTTGTGATGCCTTTCTTTCCCTTCAGAGTGCACTCTGAGGAGAAGAACCAGTATAAATGCCGGTCAAGCACCCTTAATTCTAAAGAATACATATCCATCATTTCATAAAAATAATTAGGCAAATACGTGATCATGCAGAGAGGCAGTTCAAATTGACTGTTTCTGCTTTTGAATTTCTATTTACAAAACAGAAGAAAACCCTCAGGATTTAAATCTGACTACTGGAAAGACAAGAAAGAGTTGTCTAGAATAGCCATTTCTAATTTCTTCATAACCATCTTGATCTTAGTAATTCACATAAACATCTTTCCAGAGCCCCTCATTTGGACTTCCAGAATAAGTTCACATTGGCCTCAAACTATGTTCACAAGATTATTATTCTTAAAATACTACTTTATTGTGTCAGCACAATGTTTGCACTTTTTTTTCAAATATACAAATGGCCGACCTTATAAAACCAAAATGTTTATCCAGATATCAAAGGTCTTCTGCAATCTGGCTCAATGCTATTATCCAGTTGTGCTTTGAACCATTCTTAAAATCTTTGTACTTTGCTCTAATTGATTCGTTCATTGCCCCTCCAAACCTATTTGCACAAGAACTTCTCTTCAATTGTTGCTTTCTCTTGTCATATATCTTGAATACCCACCCTACCTGGACTGAGTCAAACCCTACTCATCTTTCTAGATACAGTTAAAATCCTCCTCTTCCAAAATATGTACTTCAGAATATTGAGCCTGAAATAAACTGACTTCTTTAGTTTTATTAGTTAGTTTTGTGCTGTATTAAGTGGCAGTGACCATCTGTAACAATGTTAACAGCTTAAACATGAAAGTTTACCTCTTGCTTACAGAACAGGACAGAGCAGGCTTCCAGGTGGGAGGCGGGCCTCCTCGGCACTGTCATTCAGAGACCAGGGGCTACAAGGGTCTTCAGCCATCATTTCCAAGGTGACCTTGGCAGTGTCTCCATTCCAGCCCACCAGAAGGGGTCGGATGTTGGAGGCACACCAGTAGGAAGGAGCAGGTTGAGGGAGGGGTTGTACCGCCTCACAGCTCCACTGGTTAGAGCTCAGTCACGTGCCATTCCTAACTTCACAGGGAACTACAAACTGTAGGCTAGATACGTGGGAGGAGAGAAGAGCATGTGGGCTTTTCTAAGCAGCTCTGTTTCTCTACCACAGAAATAGTATAATGCTGTCTCCTCAGATACTTGTAACATTTCTCCTTTAATTATTATTTATACCATTTTAATTATTTAATGCTTCACCTATAATAAACACTTAAATAGCTCTAAGTACATGCTTAGAGCTATTTAAATACTTCACCTATAATCAACATTTAAATAGCTCTAAGTAATGCTTATTTATTTAAGTATATAATTATTTGCAAATATTAGAAATTTTAGGTAAGATTTTGCCAGATTCTGGCTTGTTAACAATCCTTACGGAATTCACTAACGGGCTTCTTAGCACAGATATTTTGAGATACGGTAAGGAGTCAGAACTACATGTTTTGTGCACCAGATGTAAGCACACAGGGTTGCCATGACACTGTGAAAGTGCAGGGAGGGAGTTAAGTTCTCAGCCAGACAGAAGGCTTACCACTCCAGCAAAGAGGTGGAATTTCAGGGCAAAGGTAGGCAGAGTCACACTACGGTTCTTTTAAAGCACTCAAGCTATCTCTCTCATGCATAGAGGAAAACAACACTCAATACCCACCAAAAGCATCCAGTTTTAAGGAAAATGATGTATCTTTACCTTATACCAGCACATGTCAGCAGTTCTAATTAAATGTGTGAGTTGAGACAACTTGAGGGGGGAATTTGTTTAAACTGATAGGATATAACTGATGATGACTGGTTAGTTACCCTGAGCAAGGGGTCATTAGATCAGGGATACCTGATCATGAAGAAACAGACTGGGAAGCAAGAAAGAACACCAGAGTGAAACAGAAAGAGGCGCTAAGCAGGAAGCAGTTGGATGTTCAAAGACATATGTGAAACAAATTGAAATCTGATGGCTGATGGTATGTGGAGAGCCAAGTATACATGAGAGTTGACTTCAGGAAGGATCTGGAAATAAATAGCACAATCTCCAAAATGGATACGTGGTCAGATGCAAAAATGCCCTTTCACCAAGATACTGGAAAAGCCAAAGCTAAGAGCCACTGAAGTAGCCCGTGGAGGTACCAAGATAGCAAATGGAGCAACTATTACAGGTAGGAAATGAATCGAGATAATTCCACTCTCCATACCCAAGTTTGCACTGTAGATTCCATCTCTGGGATTGGTTTCTGACTAGGCCACAGCCCTAGGCTAAATCACTAGCATCTTTCACTGGACTACTTTTGCAGCACTAAAAGCAGCTGGCAGGCAGAAATACAGAGAAATGAGGATGCCAGAGACTGCCGGCCGTCAGCATGACCAGTGAAATATTCACTGTGCCAAGGTGAACAGAGATATAGGGGCCTGGGAAGGAACTCAACATCATTTGTCCTCATTCACCCCTTTCATAACTCAAAACCACCCATGTCCTATTTAACCACAATCTGTAGAGAATAACCAGCACAGAGCTTCTCAATGTCTCTGATAACCCACTCGCTAGAGTATTCCTCACTCCTCTAGTGAAAGGAGAGTCTTTCGAATATTCCCAAGAAATAGAGTCAGCTGGCATGGAATAAATCCACTGGAACACGTTTACCTCCCTGAACCTTCCAACTCATTCTGAAATAAACTTCCAAGACATTTCTGTAACTATAGACCATTATCATATAAGAAGCATTAAAGGGCCATACCAGTGGTGTTCTAGCAGGTTTTCCAGGGGTCTTTGCCATCATAGTCAATATTGGGAGAGGATGCCCCTTTGACAAAGATAAGGGAGTCCCTTCTGCCTGCCCTGAGAGTTCATGAGAATTTGGAGGTCCAAGGTTATCACGGACGCATCCAAAAGCCCCATCCCGTCTTGGGATCCTATTACTTTATTATGAGGACCCTGACTTATGTATAAGAGACCTATCTTGCTGTGCATTCCATCTTCTTTAGCTTATGGTCTCCTGTTAGATTTTTTATACACTCTGTCCCATGGATGTAGTTTGCCAGTTTTCAAAGTGTGTGCTGCATGACAGCTGTTGATCTGAGTCTGTTATTTTTTTCTTTAGGCTTCCAGGGAAGTTAACAAATACTAGACAAATCTATAACCCATACGGTTCCCATCGCCCCCGTGTTACGTTCACGCACAAGCCTTAGGACAAGAATTGGTGGCTCTGCTTCAACTTTTGCCTGCACCTAATCCATAGAGGGGGACTGAGCAATTATGATGCCACAACACTCTAGGGATTATCTCTACCCACTTCCCACCACCAGCAACGGTTCTTGATGCCATATGACCAGTGGGTCCGATTTCTAAACCTCTATTCTTAGAGTTTGCTTTTTGGTATAACTTCCAGTGCTAACTCTCTTCATTTGAGTTGCTTAAGTAGAAAACACTGAGATAAGGACTTTCCTGCAGGCAGTTTATTTAGGCTATCGTCCTGGAAACACAACCAACGCAGTAAAGAGAGTGTGCCAGAGAAAGGAGAAAGCCAATAAATAGGTTACTGTGAGGAGTGACTGGAGCTCAGCCCCTCTAGGGCTTTCTGAAAGATCATGTAGAGATTTCTCATTATTTTCCCACTGAAGGATGAAAAACTCCACTAACTCGCTCCGTTGTTGAGAACTGATGGTTACAGCATGAAATGCCCAATACTTGCTGGCTCACATGCCAGCTGAGCAAGATTTGGTGGTACTAAGGAAAGTCCTAGGCAGGAAAACCAAGTCAAAAACCTTGTCCTGGGTTATAAACTCTCTACCCCGCGACCCTCTCGTCTCTACCTTCACCATGCGGGTCTTCCTTCTGCCCCTCAAGCACGCTCCCTGACACCACCGCCCCCATGCACGGTCCACGGAGCACTTGGCCCTTCACTTTATATTTCTATTCCCTATATTAACATTCCCTTCAGATTGGAATGCCATTTCCCTCGGAGCTGCTCCTCCGAAACTTCAGGTCAGGTGAGCTCCTATGGTGACTTACCTCCACGGCACCCTGCACATCCATCTCTAGAACATTCGTCATCCTCACTATTACATATTCAAAGTCTGACCTTGCTCACTCAATTGGAAGCTCTGTTGTATTTGTTTTCCCTCTCTAGCATCTAGTTGAAACACATCACCCAGAAAACTCTTACCTAGTATGTGTTGACTGAACAAAGCTGAAGTAAACAATTAGAAGGTTTGCAGAACCATTTTGATCTGAATGGCTAGTGACCAGGGATTGATCACAAAACCACATGTGACACATGGATAGCAAGAAAGAGTAAGAGGGCTGCCAGATATGGAGACAGGAGACATCAGACTGTGGCAAACACATAGGCTGAACATTCCTTCTGGCAAACCGCCAGCCAGGATGTGCCAATGTTCCTTACAATCCTCTTTAGAAGGGACAACATTTACATGTCATTTGCATATGCAACACATTTCTCTTCCCACTCCTGATAACATTTACTCAACATATGATCATTGAGGGCCTGTATTAATGGGGTCAAAGGTCTTTGAGGAAACTTGTTAAGTTCATTCATCAAAGACTTTATAATCTTGCAACACAGAACACAACCATTTTAAATATATAATTTGGATACTGGCAAAAATAGGCAGTGTTAGGACATAATACACTTTGTAGTAATTCAACAAAATTATGGTATCTGCTATTTTTCCACATCTTTTTTTGAGCAGTAGAATTATGATACCTGTATCAAGGAATTATGAATAGACTAATATGTATATTTGAATTTGCTCATAGGCCTTTACAAACTGTAAATTTAAAGGCTTAGGTAAGGTTGATGAATGAGACAAATACAAAACACTGCTCCTCATTATTATAAGAATGTAGAATGGGGTGCAAATGAAATCCTTAGTAGAACAGTTGCTTCTGAAAGTCTGCACCTCATGAGTCACTCAGAGCTCCAGGCTCAGTAACAGAGATGTTGATTGTCTTCCCTTCCTGGAAAGCTCCCCTTTTACCAGCAAATTATTATAGCCCAAAAATATGGTTATTTAGAAGAACCAAGACTTACAGAACTACAGAAAGTTGTAATCTCTTTCCTAGCTGTTCAGTTAAGCAAGTAAATACATAGAAAAGAACCCAATATAAATACATATGC